TTCCCCTCTCTCCTTATCCTCCCCCTCCCCCCAAGCTTGGTCCCCTCCCCTTCCCCTCCTCTCCTTATCTTCCCCCTTTCACCCTCCCCCCTCCCAAGCTCGGTCCCTCCCCTTTCCCTCTCTCCTTATCCTCCCCCTCCCCCTCCCCAAGCTCGGTCCCCTCCCTTCCCCTCTCTCTTTATCTTCCCCCCTTCACCCTCCCCCCCAAGCTTGGTCCCCTCCCCTTCCCCTCTCTCCTTATCCTCCCCCTCCCCCTCCCCCCAAGCCTGGTCCCTCCCCTTTCCCTCTCTCCTTATCCTCCCCTCCCCCCTCCCCCCCCAAGCTTGGTCCTCCCCTTCCCCTCTATCCTTATCCACCCCCTCCTCCCTCCCCCAAGCTTGGTTCCCTCCCCTTCTCCTCTCTCCTTATCTTCCCCCTTCACCCTCCCCCCTTCCAAGCTCGTCCCCTCCCTTCCCTTCTCTCCTTATTCTCCCCCTCCCCCAAGCTCGGTCCCCTCCCCTTCCCTTCTCTCCTTATCCTCCCCCCTCCCGCCCCCAAACCCAACCCTATTATTATTTCATGATGATAGGGGCTCGCATCCTTCACATCTAATCACCGAGCTATTATCTTTTCATCGACTAATTAACTCTCTACCATTTTTTCACACTCTCCCCTTGATGCAAACCAGCGAGAGATGGAATGTGTGGCGTTATTTAGGAAGTTTTATCTCTTTTTTATTTTTTGGGGTTAATGTAATTAGAAAGACCTATAACCTGTGAACAAAACGTAGATTTATATTTACTTATCATAAAATGCTTATCAGTCTTTAAAGTATATATATACCCCGGCAGTATTATGATAAAACAACTTCTGTGTTACTGATGATAATGAATATTTGATACATGAATATGCACTGTGTATAATCCAACAAAACAATAAGATAAATGTTTACTATAAACATTAATGAATTCTATAATTATATTTGGTTTCGTAAAAGTTTGACATTAAACATTCAAAAACTAAGTGGAATTTTCAATGTCTTTCTTTTTTGTTTCCTTTATTTGTACAAATACTCCTTTGTATCCATTATCTTCTGAGGTATCACTGTTATCATAATTCTTCTGCCCTTTTTGCTTTTGTTTCTACCTTTTCATATTTTCTCTTTTCTCTTTTTTCAGCATTTCCCTTGTTTCTTTTTCTTTTTCTTTACTACTACTTCTTCTTTCTTCCCCTTACCCTTCTTCGTTTAGTTCTTCTTTGTCTTCTCCTTCTCCTTCTTTTCCTACTTCGTCTTCTCCTTCTTCTTCCTTTTCTTCCTTTTCTAATTATGGATTTGATTATGAATATATCTCCATTTCTTGTCGTATATTTTGTGGCAAATATATTAACCAGCAAGAGGATTAACCAATTAACACATTCATAAAATGTTTTTAATTACTCGTTTAACAACAACGTATTTGAGTGTTAATTATGCATTTATTGTTTTTGATTAACACTATATAATCATAATTTGTTAATTCTGGTATATTTTTTTACCTTTGCTTAGGATTAGGATTAAATTGTTGATTAATAGTTTTATTTTTGTACCCTTTTACATAATTATTATCTATAAATTTCATTAATTCCTCTATAAATGTTCTTTTTTTACTCATATATCTATCCAGATTATTCATCCTAGCTATACGTTATTCATTTAGTCCCATTATTCACAATTATTTACTCACCATGATTCATTTACTTTCATAGCACCCCGTGATCATTTACTATCACCTACTCACCACCATTAATCTGCAATCTCTGCATTATCTACTCACTTTCAAGTAATTTAGATTTATTCAATTATTCGCTAATATCCATTCACTACAATTTAATCACAGTCATTATTGACGCTTCTATCGTTCGTTCACTAAAATCCCTTCACTATAATCCGTTACTCTGACTTCCTCAATGCAATCGATTCATTACAACTTGCACATCATGCATCCCCTAGATATCAACTCGTACCCACTGTCACTCGCTCGCCCTCACCCGCCCCCTTACTCACCGCCCCCTTCCGCGTGCCCGCAGAGGTGTCTCCCGACGAGTTCATGACGCGGCTGGGGCGCGAGTACGTGAAGGAGTGTCGCCGCCAGTACGGCAAGGCGCTGCAGAGCCTCGGCTACAACCTGGAGGGCTTCCTCACCAACCTGACGGGGCTGTGCGACATGCTCAAGACCAACTCGTCCCTGAAGACCAAGAACGACGTCCCCAGCCTCATCTGCAACAACGTGGACGGCTGCGTGGTGCTCCACTTCTTCACGAATCGCGAGCCCATTCGGTGCTTCGTGGGCGGCGTGATCGAGGGCGTGAGTTCGCAGATCTTCTCGCGACGGGCGCGGGTGGCGTGTGAGAAGTGCGACACGCCCAACGGCAACCGAACCAGCCACCGGTTCTACTTCAAGTACACGATTCGCGAGGAGGAGGTGGAGGAGGAGGAGGTGGAAGAGGTGGAGGAAGAAGAGGACGTGGAGGAGGACGAGGG